AAAACCAGACCTAAGGAGTAAGACCGATCCTAAGAGGACCTAAACCTAGGTATTTTTCAACCTAACAGACCTAATAGACTCTAAACCTGCCTACCTAAGACCTGATTACGTCTAATCAGACCTACCCCAAGGCTAACACTGACCTAACCAACCTAGATCAGACCTAAAATCGAGTCTATTCTGTCCCCCTAAGTCCTAATCAGACCTAAATCAGCCCAATATTGACTTACCTACCCCTGATCAAACTTGAATTAACCTAATCAGATCTAAACTAAGTCTGAACCGACCTAATTAAATCTGATCAGACCTGATCTAGCCTAAAATCAACCCTAACAGACCTGTACCTATTGATTTTAACCCTAATACCGACTTCTCACTCACCTAGTTCAGCCAAATCCTCCTATTTCAGGCCTAACCGGACTCTATCTAACCCAATCGAACCAATCAGACCTAAAACCGACCAATTTAAGTCCTAATCAGACAATCCTGACCCTAAACCGACCAATCTAGACCTGTTCTAATCGATACAGACCCTAAACCAGACAAACTCAGCCCTATTTGGACAAATCAGACCCTAATCAGACCTAAACCGGCCCAATCCCAATCTAAATTGACCTAAACCGGACTCTATTGTCCTAAACCGGTCCTAGATTGACCTAAACCGGTCTGGGTTATCCCGAACCGGACCTAAATTGACTCGAACCGGTCTGAACCGGTCCAATTGACCCCAAACCGGACCTGAACCGGTCCAATTGACCTGAACCGATCCGGTTTTCCTAACCCGGTCAACTGTTGACCAGAAATTGGTCAACGTTTGACCTAACCCCGACTAAACCGATTCGATTTTGAATCGAGCCCGGTCTAAAGTGCGATCACCCTGCTCCAGATGGAGGAACTCCACAATACGGTGGTCCTGATCTCCCTTCAGACAATACTTGTCTTCAAAACGCGCCCGGAACTCCTCCCAAGTGAACTGATATCCCGGTACTGCCTCACGAACCACTTCCTCCCACCAGTGAAGAGCTTCTCCATACAGATGGTGACTCGCGATCTCTGTCCGGTACTGCAGTGGGCATCTGACATAATCCAGATCCCTGGAGATGCGGATCAGCCAATCCTCCGCGATCTCAGGTCTCTGAGTACCCTCAAACCTCGGTGTCCCCATCATCCGAAGTTCCCGTATCAAGGGCAGGTAGTCCACCACAAAGAGAAACGGTGAGGAACCGGCCGGCCTGAACCACAACACGAATAAATTAAGTCTTTTTGAAAGCTTCACGGTAGGCCTTTTTCTTGCGGTTAAACATTCATGGGTTTTAGATTTCAACAAATGTTTCGTTAGGCGACACACAGCGGCATCGGGTGATCGGTGTGTTGCGACGGATATACATAATCCCGATTACCGGTGAAGATCAAGAATGCACATACACCCAAAGAACGGAAAAGGCGTACGGCTGCGAGAGAGAGATGTCACCCTCTAGACGTGGTCGCGATGATATTTGACGCCATTTACCAGGGTACGAGTAACTAAAGATGCCTTGCGGTGGAAAAATGCCTCTAAAAATAACGTGAGACATTTTCAGAACGTTGAATTTTGATGTTTTGGGGATGAAGGTGGTTCTGTTAGGATATACACCACATTCAATAATGGAATTGTGGGGTCTTCAGCAAACCCTTTAGGCGAGAAGGAGGCTTTCGAAGCCTAGGTTCGAGACAGAGGGTTTGAGGACAGAAGGGGCAATTCGGTCTTTTGGTTTTGTGGTT